GCGCTCGCGCCGTCCCCACCTGCACCGCTCTCGGCGCCGACGCCCGTGTCGCCCGCGGCCCTCGCGGGCGCGGCGACCGAGCGCGGCAAGACGCTCGAGGCCGCCGCGCAGATGCTCGCGCGCGAAGTGGTCGAGAACGCGGCGTGGCGGCCGGCGGACCCTGCCCGCGCGTTCGCGCCGCGCGGGGCGGGGGCGGAGGTGTGGCCGGTGGACGCGGTGCGCGCGGCGCGTGCGTTGAAGGGCGTTACTGGCGTCACGGGCGAGCTTGCGGTGCGGGATCTGTTCGAGGGCGCGGGGGAACACGCGCCGTTGGAGCAGCCACGGATCGCGGTGGGGAAGGGCGACGCGGTCGTGCAGATGCTTCCGAGCGCGCTGCGGTTCTGGGACAAGCTGGGTCTCACCCCGCGCGGAGGACCGAAGGATGTGGTCGCGTTCGTGCTGTACGAGGAGCGCGAACCTGGAAGGGAGGAACAGATGGGACGATGGTTGGAGATGGTTTCCCAGCTGTACTCCGTAAGTCGGATGGCTACCGACGTTCGTTTGGGACCGCGCACTGACGAAATTGTAGGGCAAGAGCTTTGGAGCGCATCGTCCGGGAACGCACAAGAGCTGCTCCAGGGACGGCCTGTTGCCCTTCAAGTTTGACGCCATCCGGCGCACGCTCCGTACGTACTTCTTGGCGTCTCCCTCTGGTCCTCTGCTCATCGACGTCGCAGCGCCGCTGGTGGGATCGATGAACGTGGCCGACTCCTTCGTCGTCTTCTACGTCGCGGTCCCGCCCGCCTATCACTCACTCGACTTGCCCGTCCTCCGCCACATCTTCTCGGCGATGAAACGCGCCGCCCGCGCCGACGGTCGCGTGCTTTTCCAGCTCGTGCCCGAGCACGCCATCTTCGACGCCTTAGACCACCACGCCGCTAAGCGGCTCCACCTCGACGCGCTCGTGCACTCCGTTTACGACCGCATTCAGACACCCGTTCAACGGACGATGGCGCGCGCCATTTTCAAAACCCGCGATCCGTCCTGGATCGAGATTCCGATCGAGGACCCCGCGTTTGCGCTGGCGCGCCCACGGAACGAGGTGGTCAAGTTCGTCCGGGACGCACCACCGCGCTCGCTAGACGTACTGGACAGGCACACTTTCCTGCACGTCGGATACCGCCTGAGCGCATGCGGCCGGTGGCTGCTGGCTGCGTGCGTCGACCAGCGCGGGGAGGCGCACGACGTTGGGGTGTGGCTCACTCCCGGCGATAACGTGGAGACGCAGATCGTGTCTCAGCTCTGGTCGTTCGCGGTCGAATTCGGTCGGAGGGCAAACGTCGAGTGGAGGCTCGTTTTCTGCAAACTTGGGCCTCTGGGCGCCCCCGAGCTCGATGGTGAGTATTCTCCCCGCCATTCCCACTGATGGTCAAACCCGCTTACGCTTCCGTTTCGCTAGCTTGGGTTAATCACCTGCAGAACGTCGTACCCGCGTGCACCGAGTTGCCCATGGTGCACGTCACCCTCCTATGCGCGGACCTTGACTGCGGGTGGACCCTCCTTCCCGCAGATGCGCGACGTAAGCCCATGGCCCGGGCCAGCACGAATGACGCCTCCGAGGGCGTCTACGTCGACGTCTCCGAGTCCACCTACTTCATCACCCAGTCTGAGGTTACGCCTATCCTGCCACCACCTCTGGCCGATTCTCCGGCACTTCTCGGCGCCCAGCACGCCTTCGTCCCCGATAGCAGTCTGGACGCAACAGGTACCGCCTCCGCAGGTCCACCTCCTTCCCCGTCCCCATCTGCGTCACTGCTCGCATCCGACGAGCTCGGTCTGCTACCCCTCGCCACTACCGCCCTCCTGCAGATCTCGCCTGCCCGCACGACCATGCTTAGCGCGCACCGCTTCTACAGTATTGCGTCGTCTGCATCGACGTGCACCGTTCCCGATGCGCAAACGCACGAGGATTCGACGCGCAACTGGTACGAGCTCTCCGTGCTTGCGCGTGCGCGACAGCAGCTCCACGCGCATCCTGCGCTTCCGCTCCACCTCGCCGCGCTCGAGGTGATGAGGGAGGCGTTCGAGGTCGCCGGCTCGCCTACCGAGTGACCACGCAATATTCCGGGTTGCCTTTATTCGTTCTATGCTGTCGCAGTCTGATCTTTCCTCCTGCTTTCATCCATTTTGGTCTGGGCCTCTCCTATCATGCTGTCTGCCCCGCTTGTCGCATTTATCTCCTTATCGTCTTCCACGGTCCAAAACCACACGACGGTACTCATAAAGGAATTAGCCATCTTTACCATTGCACACCCAAGGTCCCGATATTCACGCCTCGTCTTCATTCACCGCATGTCATTTTCTCTCGTGCACTTCGCATTGTATCACTATTGTGCTCCATCGCAAATCGAAGATTTCCATTGCCATTTGCGCGTCTACAATCCCGGCAGCTGAGGGTCATTCGCAGGCTCCAGGTCTTGTGTCAGAGGTTCGCCTTGTGTGCGATGAAGCAAATATGGCGAGTGGGACCAACATGCATGCGTACACGTCGCACTCGGCTCGCGTACGCGAGGCCTTGGGATCCGGCTGTATTGGGTCCGCGCCGGACGATACCACCTACTTCCTACCTGCATGAGATTTGCCTCGGTGTAGCACAGTTTTTGCTCAAACTGTTCGAACTGTATGCTTGAGAGTCTCTACAATATTATACATGCACAGATATTGTGCTTGCCATCGTATGTTAGTCTCGAATCCAGTCCTTCTGCATAACAACGATTCCGTCCATTAATGTCGCCAATGTACGGTATGCGTGCAACACGTCTGACTGAGGTTAGATTGATTCATCATCGAGTGGTGCTACAGGGGGCTACTCGCGCGTGAAGATTCAAGCATGTCGATGAAGTTGACACTCGATCGGCGGAGGCGTACGTAAATTCGGCGCGCATCAAAAATGCCTGCGTTACTCCACTCACACCAGGGTGGCGGGCACCAGCGGTTCAGTCACGTATACAAAACCGTCATGGACACACGGAACGGAGAGGAGAAGCAGAAGTTGTCTGCTCACGTACGACCCCTTTCTGATGCTGTCGCCACCAGTCATTCTTACGCCATGCTCAAAGAGGAGAATCTGGTTAAGATGTATGGCAATGTCGTGGTAGATGACAGACAGAAAACTGCCGTTAGACTACGCAGTTTCGTGGGTGTCTGCATCAACATTTGGTCGATGGGAATCTTTTGCATCGGTGGCCTACAGAGCAAGTGAGGAGTGGGATACTGCATGAACGACACTCTTACCATAGTGTTCTGCATCTCAAGCAGAAGTTTCGAGCAGTACCCCGCCTCACCCTTCTGTCCAATCTCCTCCAGCAGCGATCGAGCCTCCTCGATGTTTAGAGCCGCCTCAGTGAAGTTTTGTGAATCACGGTCAAGCAGGCCCATGAAAATACGACACCACGCAATCTGGTAGCGATCTGCGATGTCTGAAGCAAGTAGGAGGGAATTTTGAATATTATTTCTGGCCGCATCATATCGCTGATAGATTCTATGGATGTCGCCCAAGCTGCGCTGGCATTTCGCTGCCTCGAGCCGGTCTCCGATATCAGAGAACACATCGAGAGCCCGAGTAAGCTTCTCGATCGCCTCGTCGTACTCCTGGCGCATGCGATGGATGTCGCCCAAGCTTTGCTGGCATTGCGCTGCCCCGAGCCGGTCTCCGATCTTGGAGAACACCTCGAGAGCCCGAGTGAGCTTCTCGATCGCCTCGTCGTACTCGTGGCGCA